TGTCCACACCATTTTAATTATCTGACTTTGGATTAACAAATACAATTTAAGGGATTAAAATTTTCCAAAAATATTCAAGCCCTATCTCTAGAGTTCTAGCTCTCAGTCAGTATCTTAGCTTAGATTGAGTATGACTTCTTTTTTAAACATAGTTGTCCTTCCCACCCAGGGTTTCATTTACTGAAATTTCACCTAGACAACCACAACCCACGAAATTAACATTAACCTTGACTTGCTCTCTCAAGGGCACATTTCCACAGTCAATGTCAGAGTAGGATTCTTCAATTTGTTGTCAGTCTTAGCGTGCTTAAGACAAAAGCTAATTGTTTCACTGTTAAGTGCACACAGGGAAGCCATAGCACATACAGCGGGCATCCTAAGCAGCTGAAACAGGATGTACTCCAGACACAGATGCCGCTGCACACTCATCCCTAGGTGGGTCCCTGCCTACCTGGTCTGCACAGGTACCTACAGGATGTACTCCAGACATGGATGCCGCTGCACACTCATCCCTGAGTGGGTCCCTGCCTACCTGGTCTGCACGGGCACCTAAAGGATGTACTCCAGACACGGATGCCGCTGCACACTCATCCCTGGGTGGGTCCCTGCCTACCTGGTCTGCATAAGCACCTGCTGCTTCCCCTTTCACAGTCATTTTCAACTTTCTTGTCACATGGGCAAACGTTCATGAAATATTACAGTTAACAATCTAAATGAGCTTTCTTACCTTTTCAATTAGAAGAAGATAAAAATGATGGTATTTTCCTACACTTACGTCATCAAGAATCCTTTTGACAACCAAGAACTACTTCAGACCAGTGTTCCGAGTAGTATATTTTCAAACACTGACGCGTTCCTGCTAAGCTGCTCCCTCACACTCTAATCCTATGTGATTAGAATCACACTTTCTAAGCCTATCCTCTATATTAAAATAGGTCCCTTTCTTGATTCAAAGTATATTAATTGGTTTTCTGGTATTAGCTAAACTGTTATGACATCTGAAGCTAAAGGCAATAAAATAAAAACAAAGGTCTCAATCTTATAGAGACACTACTCATCAAATATTAGGGGGTAAAATTAAGTAAAAGCAACTATTTAAAATGTCAGGTGAATATCCTTATGAAGAAAACAAGGAATAAGGGGAAAGAACAAAATCAGTCCAGGCTGCCTTTAGGAAGGGGACAGGATCCAGAGAGCTGTGATACCAAAGACTAAGATAAGACATGGGAGGTAGCTACTCACCATGAGTCTCCTAATTGGCACATTTAAATGCCTCTTTGCACCCTATTGACTAGGCTTTTCCATAGTTCGAGGGGCTGTTCGTGAATCTCTGACCTTTAACGTTTTTCCTCTTTCTGCTTCTTGTATTTCTTCCCAATCCTGAATTTCTCAGGATTCATCACATAGGCTGGATTTGGCAGGTTAGTCCTAGTTTTCCTAACCACACTCAGGAAGGACTATGAACTTCTTCACTTGTTTACAGGTCAGTTACTTCCCCACATTCCTGTCTTGTCTTTTCTTTCCTTGTTTCTTTTGGCAATTTGTAAAACTTCCTTAAGATTCTACCCACCCATTTTTCTGATCCTACATAACTCTGAAACATTTAGATTTATGATTTTTCTCACTTAGTTAAGAATGATTTGCCTAGACAATGTCTCCCACTTGCTAGTGATAACCACTAAGATCTGCAGGTAAATAATTTCCAAGTAACATCAAGGTTTGTTTACTTTAAATCTGATCCATCCAATGCTGCATAAACACATTCAATAGCCAGAGTCATCAGGTCAGGATCTTTTCTCTTGCACCAAGCACTCATATCTCATTTTTCAATCTCAGGAATATCTTTGAAATTTATCCTTTTTTACTTCCACTTACATTTGCCATAATTTTAATCTCCATCATATAAATGCATTTTTTTCCAGTTTATCTTGGGCATAGTTTTTTGTGCCTCACCTGGTAGGCCAGTAACGATGGGGTATAGTTTAGCTTTAATGGAATACTTTTAAGCATCTAGCATGCTTCCTTAAATCTTTAACCATTGAATAAATAAATATTTCAATGCACTTGACATTTAGGTAATGGCTTTTTCTGTGTATGTTTAATACTTAATATAGTCAATGTAGTTTAGCATTTTATAGCTGAGATTCTTATTTGAATAACATGCCCAAATTGTGCATTAGAGAGAGATGACCAACTGGTTAAGAGTATTTGCTAATCTTGCAAAGAATCCAGGGTTTAGGTTCCAATATCCACATGGGGGCATACAACTGTCAATAACTGTAGTTCAAGGAATCTGACGCTTCCTTGTAACCTCTGTCAGCACCAAGCATATACATGGTGCACACACATACATATAAGCAAAATACTCATACACAAAAGATGATATATATATACATATATATATATGTATATATATATATAAAATCTCCAAAGCATAGAGAAAAAAAAAGAACAAGAATAAAAACCAAGAGTTTAGATAAAGGCTTCTTTAAACCCTGGCCATTAAAATACCTGAATTCCAACTTAGCACCAATTAACAACCACAACAAGAAAGAAATGAATGCTTCTAACACACATGAAGAGTGTTTCAGTAAACCGGTATACATTTATGCTAAGTTGCTAAGTTCAAACAAAACAGAAGCAGTAACCAAGTGGGTTGGCAGACTTCCACTAGATCTGTGCTAGAGTAAAGAGGAACGGGATTAATCAAGTCTCAGAGCAATACGAAGATAATAAACTTAGCAGACCAGGTGAGGAATGGCTTGCCTAATGTCTGCCATAACTGTTATGAGCATACTTTAGGATATTAGGAAGGCAATCTTATCTAAGAATAAAAACTTAGATTTTTATCACCTCAATCTTACAGATGATAAAATCTGTAAGATATTAGAACTTCCCAACTCTAAAGCCACAACCATACTCCTTAGATAAGTCTAGAGTCTAGCTTCCACAGGAAAAGATTAAAGGCTTTTCTCTAATTACTCAAATCATATAAAATGTTCTGCTATTAATTATACAACATTATAAGAAAGCTTAACATTGGTTTCAAAATACAGTGTACAATTTAATAGTTCATTTTGTGACAATTCCAGACATGAAATTCCCAGATCAGTAACATAAACAGTATATGTAAGCAACTAAAATTTACTTTTAAAGGGTAAGAATAGGCGACCAGTAACTACCTTCAACTAGAAATTTAAGTCAAATGTCAAAGATTAATTTGGCTCAATAACAAAGATAAAGTTAACAAACTTCAAGATTTTATACTACATACTGTCCTGTAACTTTCAATATAGAGAAAAACTATCAAATATAACTTACTGCTTATTAAGTGAAAGCCTGGGTAAAAAATTAATAAATAGTATCCTTAATACTCAAAGTTTTGAACTCTGAAGAATGTGACATAATAGGAATTCACTTTTTGAAAGGACAATGAGAGTGGGGTGGGGTTGAAGCTAATACAAAAACAAAACAAAGCAAAACAAAGTACTGTTTTTCCACTCAACAGAACACCCTGAGCTTTAACTATGTTGGATCGCTTAAAATTGTCAATATTCACCTGTTCTGTCAGACAGAAAGAACAATTTTCTTACATTTCAACGTAATTCATTTTTATTCTTTTCATGCATAGAGAAGTAAGTGAAACACTGGATGAATATTTCTTTCACTGTAAATGTTGATCAGTATGACAGCATTATAAAATGTTCACACCTATGTTCCAACCCTATTCTCTATGCAGTCTCTACACCAGTATAGTTTTAAATAATTAAAATGAGCTCCCTGCAGGGGTATGCAAAAAAGGAGATTTTTTTTGAAAGGAAGGTGTGCTGTCATTACAATTTCTCATTTCATGGTAATCTAAATGGTACACCAAACAAGACCTTCACAGGTAATCTGCAGCTGTCCATAAATGGTCTATTAGAATGATCACCTTCAAGATGTTTGGGGAAGGCTTTACTGTAAAATAAAATCACGAAATAAAATTCACAGTCATATTATTGCATTTTCTTTCTGGTACACTTAAATCACTGGGAAAAAAGTTATCAGTTACCATTGTTCACTTCGTAACACGTCCTGAAATATTTGACTATCTATAAAACAAGAAAATGAAGGGACCAGTTCCCCTGCTCATTCCAAGTACACTAAGTAGTGAAAATTTTTTAAAGAAAAAAAAAACTGTATTAAGACAACAGGATCCAAAAATCCTGAAACCTTGTGTATCAGAAAGATTTAGTCTTTTTAAATCCTGAAACTGTTGTTCCCACTGCTATGATTTTTTTCTTCCTTTCTTTGTTTTTTAAGCGAATGTTGTCCTTGCACGGGATTAAAATGGATGAGGAAAGAGGGAAAAGTGAAAGAATTGGGAACAAAACAAAAATTGAAGCCATGGCTAAGGCACCAGGATAAAAACGAAGATAAGAAGCAAAGCAGGCTCTTCCCTAGACAGTCCTCGTGAATAAACCATTAAGGATGAACCTATTGTCCCTGCTGTAGAGCTCGCCAGGGACACTTCCTTGGGAGATGCTCAGGCATTTCTCCGAGCAAGGTGCGGTAAAAATGGAAGGAAGGCTACATACAACTGTCCAAGGTGCGTGTCCAGAGCTCTCAGGAGAAGGGGCGGGTCCTGAGGGGTCAGCAAGAACTGGAGAACCGGACATCGCGAACCTTAACCAAGAATGCACTTTGCAAAGATAATCTGACCTGACCAGAGACACCTAGTGCCCACAGGAAACTCGGGAATCTAGGAAGATCCAGAGATGGTAGTTAGGCCTTGCAGGCGTAAGAACGCGGGGGCTGAGACCCCGCGGGGAAGCAGAGGACTGTACCCGGAGAGCAGCCCGCGGCCACCGCTCCTGTTAGGGGCCGTCCAGCTCCGTCCCGGGTGTCGGCGAGCGCGGGGACCTCGGTGCAGAGCCTCCGGGTTGTACTTGCCCCCAGAGTCCAGGCCCCGGTCGCTCGGGCCCGCTCAAGCCCCGCGGCAGCATCCCTTCAGGTCTCACCTTCTAGTCCGTCCATGGCTCGCCGTCTCAGGATCCGCAGGCAGCACCCGCCGCCGCCCAGCTCCGGCTGTAGCAACCCGGCCGCGCCTCCCACATTCTAACATCCAGACCTCCCATTGGTCCGCGCGGGAAGGGGCGGGGCCACTTGAGGCTACTGAGGGCGGGGCCGCACCTCCTGCCGTTTCTCCAGGGACGCTTCTTCCTCCAGGGTTTCCAACCACCCTTCCTGGAAACTGCAGCTACTTTCGCGTCCTGAGATCCTTATACGCCTTTGTTCCACTCAAACGACTTTTAGCCTCCCACCTTGATTTCCTGCTCAGACTGGCTCCACATTTAAGGAGCTCTTCATCTCCAGTCAGTAAGAGGATGTCTTTTTACAGGTCCCTGTAGCAAGATAAAGCAGCCTTGGTCCCGCACCATCCCGGGTTCTGTGCCCTTTTAAATCAAGCAACATCCCCTAGACTTGTTCTTCAGACACAGCTCTAAGGGCTAAAACATTGTTTCCTACATAGGTCATATTTTCTGTATGGGATTGTGGAACCGAGATTGCGCCAAACTTTTGAAAGCAATTTTCTCAGTATAAAAATTAGGCCCAAATTTAGAAACGAAACTTTCACCTTGCACAATCTTTGTCTGGCCAGCACTGTACTTGCCCGCCCTCCTTACAGTTAATGAAATTCTACATCTCATCAAAGCAGTGCTGTACTGAGCACTTTAAACCGGGAAACTAGCCTATCAATGACACAAAAGTGTCTTTCTGTCAGTATCAAAATGAAGTCTAATCATTCAAACGATTTTGTGTCACAATCTAACATATTTTACCCTTACTAAAACTCTTCAAAAATTTTCCTTAGCAAGAATAAGCAACTCATGTTCTGTGCTAATTTTAAGATATCCATTGCTAAGTTATTAGTATATTTTGTCCGTTTAATTCAAAAGTTATCGTCTCTTAATTCTGTATATACTTAATAAACCAGTAACTCTCTGGTTTTGTTTAAACAAGTAAACCCAAGAGGTCTTATCTATGAGAAGACGTTCAAAGAGCATGTGAATATGGTAGAGTCCATCTCTGGTACAGAATCATATAAGAAACCTCCCCTTCAGGAATTATCTCATGAGTCCTTCCCTTGTTCTGCTCTGGTCTTCCCTCACTTCTGAGTTTCTAAGCCAGGGACATCCCCAGGGACCTCCACACAGGCAACTTAGTTACTCTATAGTGGTGTAGAGGTCCCCCAACCATGTTTCTAAGACAAAATCAGATGAGGTTGGGGATAGTTTTTATAACAAAAAATAAAAAGTACACAAAAAGAAATATCAAAATAAAGACGTCATTTACTTTGCAGACTGAAAGTATTTCACCTGAAGTTAAAACAAATACGAGGATGGTGGACACAAACCTTATCAGCCATAAAAGCTATAGTAATATCAATAGCAATAAGAAAAAATAGCAACAAAAATAACAAAAATACATTAATAGGCCCAGGCTCTGGCTTCTAGAAGAATTACAGGTGTGGCTGCTGTGTCACATGTCTGTCAGTAGATGGCAGAGAGGAGAGAGGCTATGTCTAGCTCAGCATTCTGACCCAGGAATAATTAGCCTAATATTCGTGGAAAAAAGCCTTCCAGAGAAGCTACCAGTCTGGCACCAGGGGTGGCCGGCATTCAGTTTCCAGGACTGGGAGCAAGCCTGAAACTACAAGAACCCACAACAGATGACCCTCTCATGAGGGCACTCAGGCAGACCAGATAAAGAGCCAGCCAGAGATGACCACCAGTGGTGGGCTATGGAACCCTAAGGGAGCAGACATGCCTGAGAGGACCCCTGACCAGCACCATAATGCATGAGCAGGGCATAGCATTCCTGAGACAACCCCAGACACTCAGAGATCCCAGGTGACACTAAGAGGAGCAAGTAAGTGGTAGAGAAGTAGAAGAGGAAGAGAAACAGAAGGATGTATGCACAACGAAGAGAGGGGGAACTGGAGACTCGAGGGTGGTGAGGAACAGCTTGATATGAGTAGCCTGTGATCCCAGCTGGGATCACAGTGATGGAGTCCTGTGTTGTTATATAGGGTCATGTCTGGGTCCATAGCCCTACAGCAACAGAAGTCTGTTACCTCCAAAGACAAGGTGGATGTCCCTGTTCTGGGCTGCTGCCCAGGGACATATTGCTGTCTGAAAACTGTACAGAACTGGCCCAATCCCTCACCTAAGCATCCTGGTATAGCGGGCCCTGGGATCATGGCAGCAGAAAAACTGAATTTGTCCCCTTACCTGCTGCAGCTCTCAGGAGAGCAGGCCCTACACCTCACCTGGGCAGAACAGTACAGCTGGGAAGTGTGGGGGGTGTAGGTGAGCCATCCCTAAGGGCATGAGTGTAGGAGAGCTGGCATTGCCTCTTGTCTGCTGGGTTGTAGTGCCGAGGAAGCAGAGGAGCCCTTCTCCCTCCCTCATCCCTTACCATCTATGGTAGGTAGGAGATCTGGCCCCTGGGTAATGAGCTGCAACACTTGGGAGAGTCACCCTATGGCTCACCTGGGCAGTAGGGTAGAACTCGTCCTGGTAGCAGAGGATTCTGGTTAGCTGGCCCAGAGGTCAGTAGATCTGGAGGGCTGACCAGCTCAGATATCTCTCAGGCCTGGCTCCAGGCCTATAAATTGGCCCACGCCATCATCTATCCCAATGATGAACTCCTTGAGTGCATGAAAGTGCCAGTCCTACAGACCTAAAACTAAAGGATCACTGTGACACAGGGCAGCAATAGGATATCTATAGGATCCCCAGTGTGGTTCTAGTATTGATAGAGTAGCAGAAGTTAGAGGCCTCAAACCAGACCAATGAGTCATTGCAATGAACCTTTGTATGCAAAGAAGTGTGGACAAAGTAGTATACTGTGAGACACACTGTGACACACTCCAGCTTCCCCAACAGTAGTTTTTTGTCTGTTGTTGCAGGGAGGATTGCAGGAGTGGAGGATAGGTGTGAGAGGAGTGGGAGATGAATAGGATTGAGCTGTATGATGCAAACTTCATAAAGAACCAGTAAAACAATTTGAAAAAAAAGGCAGGCCAGTCCACTTAATAATTAAAAGCACTTAGTGTGCAGAGCTAGCCATATGAATCTGCTTTCCAGAACCCACAGTTGGAAGAGAGAACCAACTCTGACCTCCACACATGAATGACATGGCACAAACACAAATCATTATACATCACATTAATAATAAAAAGAAAAAACATACATCATGATAACCATGTTTATGCTTCATATATCCATGTATTCAATCTGCAAAACAGGTCTACAATCTTTAGTTTCCAGATTTAAAATCTTCATTTTTTGGATGTGCCAATCATTAATGTTTTCTTACTATTTGCACGAGAAGAGAATGGTAGAGCTCAGGTTTAGACTCCGCTGGGTCTAACACTGGAGCCACCACGATATCCTTATGTTTCCCCACCCATGCCGTGAATCCTTCCTGCAGGAAATGAGAACTCAACCATTCAGACATGCTACTTCATGTACGTTTGAACAGACATTTCTATAGTTGCCCTTAATTCTAAAATCATGTTCATTGGACTTCTCTGCTGTGCTGGACTCCTGACCATTTAACCTACGTCCATCTTGCCTCCTGTAGCTCTTGCTACTACTGGCTCCAACATAAAGAAGCCACATTCCTCCCTTGTGAGTATCCTTCTTCTCGGCACACTTCTCTGACATCTGTAGTCCATTCCATTTTCCTCATGGATCTATTTAGCAAACATTTATTGATTACACTTAAGGCTTCAGGCTCATTTTACTGCTGAACAGACACAAGGGTGAACTGCTGAGTGTTCTTCTTGGTGCTCTTAAACTCTTTTATATGTGTACGATTTTAGCTGCCAAGTGATGCTAGTAATTAGTAGATAATGAGATTTGCTAATTTTCTTACCATACAAAAGGAAAAACTAACTTAGAAAGTGTTGCCTGACCTGATCCAGATATCCCCAAAGCAGGAAGTAGCTGAAATAGACATTCTTCCTGATTTGTTAATTTTACATTATATTCCCTTGAGTCACCATTCACGGGAGATACTGCACTTTTCATCTTCGGCTTCATAGGGCTCAGTCAGCTACACATATATTTGTTTGGAAGCTGCATGTTTTTGTTCGATCTCACACATAGTTCAAATTCTGTTTCAAAACCCAGCCTGTGCTGCTCATTCGGACCATTTCAACAGCACAGCTGAGTGAGGTCCTAAGTCTCTGTGACAAGACTTTCCTCAGTTTAATCAGCTTCACTCTGCAGAGCATTTCTCTCATCCATGGCCACACAGCGAATGACCTGCCATAGTTTACTATTCAAACAATAATATAATTGGGCAATCTTTAGCAAAAGAGATATATTTTAGTAGTAAGTAAAAAGATTTTTTATTATTTATAGGTCATGAGAAGTGATTGTCATAGCCTGGAAATGTAAGTTTTGAACTAGGCAAGTTTCATTTCCTTTTTTTTTTTCCTTTTTTCTTCTTCAGATTGAAGTAAAAGGCAAAATTCATGAAATGTTTAGAAAAAAATGAGGGATAGTGGATTATTAATTTGTATAATCAGAAAGGAATGAAAAGCGTGTTGTAGGAGATGGAGGTTTGTAGGGGTAAAAGTGTCCCAGGCAAGAAAACACCAAGTAAGAAAGGACGCTTTGATACCGAGAAACCTAGAGCAGACTTGTGGCTGTGGATGAGCAGCTGCATTATTCTCTGTGGATACGAAATCCACACCGTTCTATAATCTGTTAGAAAAGCACCTCCGTTACCGTCTACTCTCCTAAGTTAGTTCCACGCAGAAAGCACTACATCCTCAACCTCCTCCTAGGATCCCACCCATCCAGCTATTCCAATCAGAACTTCAAGGAGATTTTTATCTGCTGCTTCAAATCTATTGGGTCTTCATTAGGCTCTGCCTAAGTAGTTCAGTACTCCAGGCACGGCAGGAAGGTTCAGTCACACCTCTCGGGGCTCTAGGACGTCCACATCGAATAGAAGTCCTGCGTAAGGCACGGTGCAGAGCCAAATCTTAGAT